TATTGTGGAGGGAGTTAGGAAGATCCTCCGGCCCGGTGGGATCGTCCTTTTCCGCGATTATGGCAAGTACGATTTGGCGCAGTTGAGATTCTCTAAGGATAAGGGTCGGGCAGCAACGGCATCGCGGTTGCCGGGAGAAGACGACTTTTATGTCCGTCAAGACGGCACTCGGGCCAAGTTCTTCACTGAGGACTCTTTGGTGGAGTTGTGGGAACGTCAGGGGGGCTTTCAGAGGGTCGAGTTGTTGACTCATAGGAGATGTGTAATAAATAGGAAGCAGGGGAAGGAGATGAAGAGGGTGTGGATCCAAGCGAAGTGGAGGGCCCCACTGGCCCCCGAGGGTAGTAAGGTTTCTCGCTAGTAGCATACCACTCCTTTGGTTACTCTCAGTGGTCAATTACTCACCTTTGAGAGGACGTCGCGTTGGCTTGTGGTTCTCATTGCAGTTTTGGATTTCACAGAGGCAGTGTGTTGTTAGGACTAGATGGGAACTTATTTACAACAGTTTGGGGGGGGGGGGGGTATGCGCATGGCGAGCTACATGTGTTGGTGAGAATATGGAAATTATGAGAACTTATTGGTTTCTGTACACGTCTATTCTAATTCGTGTGATGAAGAGGAGACTCCTTGATGCAGTTGAGGAAAGGGAACATATATTCCATATACTCCAACACTGACTTTGAATATCTCTCAAGTGTGAACGTTGCATATGAGGGCGGACACTGAGAGGGCGAAGTCCGTAGCCCTCATCCCATTGTCGAGTGATCCCGGGCGCACAGAGAGGAGAAGTCCGAAAATCTGCCCGAGTTCCCCCATTGTGGTGGTAGTCGGCAGGAGGCCGCATCACTGTGAACAGTGTTGGAGTATTGGAATATATGTTCGCTTCCCTCAGCTACTGAGCTCAGGAGTCTCCGAAGCTGATCATAGGAGTTCACATATAAACTAGAGTAGGAGTGTACACAGTGTGAACAGTAACCAAACCGTTATTACGCAAAGTAATATTTTCAACACTTTCAATTTTCGAGAATTCGAAAGTAAACTTTGAGTAATATCAACATGATAAC